AAGGAAAAACACGGCAATCCTAATCTATTTTTCCTGTTTATTTTCTTTCTTAATTCAGAAACCCCCAATATCACAAACAGGCATCCCAGAATCGACAATTCTCTGCTCGGATCCTTGAAAAACGGTTAGCCTTACTGGAGCCAGCGGACTGTAACCCGAGAGAACCCAAATCGAAAAACCCTGTGTCGACATACCACCACCAAATGCTATCATACCCATCCGAAATTTTGGTGGGGGTAGACCTGGGAAATCCAAGATGTCCAGGGACCACCCACCACCTTGGCAAATCGAGCCAAGGATCCGAAGAAGAAGAAGAAGAAGAAGAAGAAGAAGAAGAAGAAGAAGAAGAAGAAGGAGAAGAAGAAGGTGAAGAAGGAGAAAAAGAAGAAGGCGAAGAAGGAGAAGGCGAAGAAGAAGGCGAAGAAGAAGAAGAAGAAGAAGAAGAAGAAGAAGAAGAAGAAGAAGAAGAAGGCGAAGAAGAAGAAGAAGGCGAAAAAGGCGAAGAAGAAGAAGGCGAAGAAAAAGAAGAAGGCAAAGAAGAAGAAGAAGGCGAAAAAGGCGAAGAAGAAGGCAGCGAAGAAGAAGGCAGCGAAGAAGAAGGCGAAGAAGAAGGCGAAGAAGAAGGCGAAGGCGAAGGCGAAGGCGAAGAAGAAGAAGAAGAAGAGGAAGAAGAGGAAGAAGAAGAAGAAGAAGAAGAAGAAGAAGAAGAAGGCGAAGAAGAAGAAGAAGAAGAAGAAGAAGAAGAAGAAGAAGAAGAAGAAGGCGGGCGAAGAAGAAGGCGAAGAAGAAGGCGAAGAAGAAGAAGAAGAAGAAGAAGAAGAAGAAGAAGAAGAACAAGAAGAAGAAGGAGAAGAAGAAGGCGAAGAAGGAGAAAAAGAAGAAGGCGAAGAAGGGGAAGAAGAAGAAGAAGAAGAAGAAGAAGAAGAAGAAGAAGAAGAAGAAGAAGAAGAAGAAGAAGAAAGTGAATAAGAAGAAGAAGAAAGCGAATAAGAAGAAGAAGAAGGCGAAGAAGGCGAAGAAGAAGATGGCAAAGAAAAAGAAGAAGGCGCAGAAGAAAAAGAAGGCGAAGAAGAAGAAGAAGAAGGCGAAAAAGGCGAAGAAGAAGGCAGCGAAGAAGAAGAAGAAGAAGAAGAAGAAGAAGAAGAAGAAGAAGAAGAAGAAGAAGAAGAAGAAGAAGAAGAAGAAGGTGAAGAAGGCAAAGAAGGCGAAGAAGAAGGCGAAGAAGAAGAAGGCGAAGAAGAAGGCGAAGAAGAAGGCGAAGAAGAAGAAGAAGAAGNAGAAGAAGAAGAAGAAGAAGAAGAAGAAGAAGAAGAAGAAGGAGAAGAAGAAGAAGAAGAAGAAGAAGAAGAAGAAGAAGAAGAAGAAGAAGAAGAAGATGAAGGCGAAGGTGAAGGCGAAGGCGGCGATGGCGAAGGCAAAGGCACAGGCGGCGAAGAAGGTGGCGAAAAGGCTAAGAAGAAGAAGACGGTGAAGAAGAAGGCGAAAAAGAAGAAGGTGAAGGCGAAGAAGAAGGCGAAGAAGAAGGCGAAGAAGAAGGCGAAGAAGAAGGCGAAGAAGAAGGCGAAGAAGAAGGCGAAGAAGAAGAGGGCGAAGAAGAAGGCGAAGAAGAAGGTGAGGAAGAAGAAGGCAAAGAAGGCGAAGAAGAAGGCGAAGGCTTAGAAGAAGGCTTAGAAGAAGGCGAAGGCTTAGAAGAAGGCAAAGAAGAAGAAGAAGAAGAAGAAGAAGAAGAAGAAGAAGAAGAAGAAGAAGAAGAAGAAGAAGAAGAAGAAGAAGAAGGCGAAGAAGAAGGCGAAGGCGAAGAAGAAGGTGAAGAAGGCGAAGAAGGTGGCGAAGAAGGCGGTGAAGAAGGCGGTGAAGAAGACGGTGAAGAAGACGGTGAAGAAGACGGTGAAGAAGGCGAAGAAGAAGAAGAAGGCGAAGAAGGCGAAGAAGGCGAAGGCGAAGAAGAAGGCGAAGGCGAAGAAGAAGGCAAATAAGAAGAAGGCGAAGAAGAAGAAGAAGGCGAAGAAGAAGAAGAAGGCGAAGAAGAAGGCGAAGGCATAGAAGAAGGCGAAGAAGAAGAAGGCGAAGAAGAAGAAGAACGTGAAGAAGAAGAAGAAGGTGAAGAAGAAGAAGAAGGTGAAGAAGAAGATGAAGAAGGTGAAGAAGAAGAAGGCGAAGAAGAAGATGATGAAGGCGAAGAAGAAGGCGAAGAAGAAGGAGAAGAAGAAGGAGAAGAAGAAGGCGAAGAAGAAGGCGAAAAAGAAGGCGAAGAAGAAGGCAAAGAATAAGAATAAGAAGAAGAAGAAGAAGAAGTCCTGTTCACACGGAGGGCAACAGGAATACTTCCTTTGTCAAGAAGAAGAAGAAGAAGAGGAAGAAGAAGAAGAAGAAGAAGAAGAAGAAGAAGAAGAAGAAGAAGAAGTCCTGTTCACGCTGAAATCACACTTCTGATTATTCAACTTGTCATGTATGCAAACAGCGAAACAGCAACTGGCGACATGCGCCCACACAATACTCAAGATATCGT